GGAGACAACGTAACCAAACTAGGTTAATTTTATAAATATAATATTTGTATCGGCTCAAACAACTAGCGTCACTGATATTCGCATTTTGAAAACGCTTCACGCTCAAATGTTCAAACTACACTTTAAAAAGAGAGCTCGAGAAGTTTATCGACGGCAGCATCGATAAATGGGTGAATCTTTCGATACACACCGAACGTTATTAATCGAAGGTGTATTTCGATGCGAACTCAAACGGTTTATTTTAGCACTAGCAGCGACGACTGTACGGGTTATTTTAATGTTTTGGTTTCAAAAAGAAGAGGAGAAATCAACAAAAAAAACAAACAAACAAAAAAACAACAAAAAAAGAGGGGCCGGTGTCGTGTCGAACTCAACTCACTACAAATGTACCTGCTCTCGATCCGCCGTAGCACTTTAATCGCCTGTACTAACACGACAATATGAATAAGTGAGCATTTTCTTATGAATGGGATGCTTGTATCGGCGCGAACAACGAGCGGCTAATGTGACGCTTCGTTGATTTCATTGTCCAGCAAAACAAAAGGTTTCTTTTGTTTCGCGTTCGACAAAAAGATGCCGCTAGGAAAAGTGCTTTTTTTTGCATACGTTATTTCTCAAAAACAAAGAGCAACCCAGCGAAAAAAAAAATACAGGGCAATACTTTCAGCTGAAATGAAGTCCACATGCAAAATTTCAGCTAATTTGGAGCAAAAAAAAAAACAACCAAAATCATCACTTATCCCCTTTTATGACTAGCTTCTTCATATAATACAGTTGGCTACCCTCGGGGAAATGGGAGGTGGCCGCTTAATAGGGGTTGGCCGCTTAATAGAGGTTGGTGTACCTTGAATATTTTTTCACTATCGGGTTATAAATTTAGCTAAATTTCTTAGTAAGCATGGAGTCAATTCAAGACAATTATGATAGACGTCATTCTCGGAGACCCAGGGGCAGTTAGTGGGGGCGGGGAAAAAGTGTAAACGGGTCTTCGCCCGAACTTTTTTCTCACCCATTTAGACTTTTCCCTGCTCCCAATAACTGGCCCTGGGTCTAAAATGTTTGTCTTGAATTGACTCCATGTTCACTAAGAAATTTATAACCTGGTGGTGAAAAAACATTCAAGGTACAACAACCTCTATTAAGTGGTCAACCCTATTAAGCGGCCACCTCCCATTTCCCTGAGGGTAGCCCACTGTATTGTAGGTAAACCAAAAATCATTGCACAGCACAAAAAGACCTAGGTACGAGTTTAGCGTTACAGTATTTATGAGGGGCGTGTAGGTGGCGATTGTCTAGTAAAAGATGACAACATGGGCAATGGTTAACTATTCATTCTTTTCATTGCTTAATTTAATCTCTTCCTACTCAACA